GGTCACACCAACAATAAACTGAACAGTCCTCCCTCCTCACCACACAAAGTTGTTAATTCTTCCAATGCCACAATTCCCAATGGGAATGGGAAGGGACAGCAAGGGGCAGGAGGAGCACTAAAGCAGAAGCAGATAGGAAAAACAAAGGGCAGTCCAGAGGCAGAGATGGGAGGTAGGTTGCACTGAAAGGGGAAAAGAAATCTGAATTCTTTTCTAACAGGTCTGTAAGTTCACTGCAAAATAAGCTCTAAGTTTATAAATTTCTTTGGCTGTTCTGTATTAGATAAAGCCCAAAACGCTTTTCACTGCATTTAGATTTTTTTTTGCTCTACAAATAATAGTAATATCAAGTTTCTTCATTTGAGATTTATCAAATAAGTCCTGAGGAAAATTGAATTTTAAACCTTTTTACTTCCCTGCCATTTGTGACCAGGACTGATCAATACTCCAAGTGAGGAAGACCTGTAGGTACTTAAGATTTGTGGTGTCATTCTTTGTGGTACTTTTTGGCTGAGTAGATGCTATTTAATACTTCAAGAAATAAGAAGATTTGAGCAGTATCTGCACAGGCTGCTGACTGATCAGTTGTAATTTCAGCTTTGGCTGCTAAAATACCTTGTGCAAGTATGATTGCCTTTGCTGTTGGTTTGAGACAGTGTCAGGCTTCTTCCAGATTGTGATTGTTTTGCCGTAGGAATTCCAGGAAAGCACAAAAAGCAGAGATAAGATCTTATTGTCATTTTTTTTTAACACCTTTCATTTTCAGAGGAATCTTTTTCTGTTGTCAAAGAAAACCCCTTTACGCTGAGATTAGGAAAAGATCCCCTTTGTGCAGGATGTACTAAAAGGGTTTTTGTAACACTGTTAGTTTTGGACAGTTCATGTTTCTCCCCCTCACGCAGCCAAAACAAACAGGGGAAATGAACTTTGCACAATAAGTACCATTGTTAAAGTCCTAATGAGGCCAACTCCATCTCGTGGTGGCCTTTTGGTAACAGCCTGGCTTGCTCTCAGGGTTTGGGATTAATCTGGTTTGTATTTAAATTTCAGAATCTGACACAGAATCCAAGAAATGTGATACTCACTTGAGCATTGGCAAACCAGTCGTAAGTATTACCCTTAAATCCCATTATTTTCCGTGGATGTGCTTTGTATAAAATAACTTGTGTCTTATTGGTCCCTTTTTCTTTGTCCTTAATGGTTTATTTTTTAAATAGAGAAAATAAATATAGTTGAGTTGTCAGAGTTCATAGCTGGGAAAGAGCAGCCACACTGTGGAAATTCACTATTTCTCAGCTCTCTGAAACTCTCTGACTCAGTTTCCCAGTCTCTAATCCCAGAATATTCCACTGTTGAAGTTTTCTAGTGTATTCAAGGCTTTAGTGCCTTGCAAACCCAGGGCCTGCTAAACTATTGCAAGTCTGTCCATTCTTGGAACCATCCTTTGCTCAGCATAGAGGATTTAAGAATATTGGGAATAAAACTGACAAAAATAGATCCTCTTTTTATATTATATAGAGAAATTGGAGCAAATATTTGAGTATGTACAGACTTATTTAGGAAGTTGGAGTCTGGTGAGGTTAATTTAAATGTCTGGTTTTGACCTTGAGCATGTTTACTGAGCTCTTCTCTGCATTATCTGTACAGCAAACATAGGTTGTGTTCCTTCACACCAGTTTTTGAGGGGGGTTTGTTACACTATTATTTTTTCATTGCTGCTTCTGCCATCTGTATTTAATGCTACCAGAGGGCTGTGTTGCCTTTGTCAGAGGGAATTTGGAGTGTGGGAATCCAGCAGCAAAAAAAAAACTTAGACAAGAAATTTCGGTCTTGAAATCAGAGCCTCTTGCTGTCCCTTGGCTTGGTGGTTAAATGTTACATGAGGGAGTTGTAAGAAAATGAGGTGTCTGTGCCTGAGCACTGATCTGGTGGCAGTGTCCAAGACTCCACAGCTGAGAATTTGCTCCAAATGAGTGATGCAAACAGTGACACAGGAATTTTCTCTCCCTGCCCCGAGCCAGTGTGATGTGTCTGTCTTGTTTGGTGATTGAAGGGAAAGCCTTTACTGTGCTGGTTTAGAACTGAAAAGAGGAAATAATTGAAATTCAAATAATGCCTCGATATTTCCACTACAAAGGTAAAGAATTCCTCCAGTGAGGAGCTTCATAGGCAAACTAGCCACACCATGTTGTTGACTAACAAACCTTTTCTTGCAGAAAGCAAACTTACTTGCATTATTTATGCTTTTAATAGGTTTCTGATATACAAGCAAGATCAGCCGTTCTGTCCTGGAATCTCCCAGTTAGTTCACAGAATGGAGAGAGCCATAGTCATAGTCCAGCAGCATTTACATTTGAAGTAGCAATATCCAACAGTGGTAAAAATGGAAAATTTAAATCTGTCTATGTGTAAGTTTAGTTTCTTCCTTTAAGCACAATTGCCATGTTTAAACCATTAACCAATCAGCAATCTCTCTATCAGGAGCTGTTTGTTGACTTGCAGACCTTCCTACTTCACATGAAATAAATTTTAAGTAATATCACTAAAGAGTTACGTGGACAGTGGGAAAATTAAATGTGCTCTACATGGTTTTGCTTTTCAATGAGCTTTGAGCCTCGAAGGTTTAAGGAGGAGCTGTAACTCTGCTTTTTGTTTGTTTTTCCCTTTTCACAGTGGGGAGGAATTAACAATTACACTTCCTGATCTCAGACCAGCAACTGATTATCATGCCAGGTATGCTGCTGGGACGGAAATAATTAATGCTGGGGGAATTACAGAATTACTGTGGCTTCATGGAAAAAAGGTGTGATCCAAACAGTTCGAGGAACACTCTGAAAAAACACCACGGCTGTGGACACTGGTTCTGCTGTCTAAGTTCCAATTTACCTTCTAATTTCATTACAATATCGCCTCATTTTCCTCCTTACCATTTTCTCTGTGTTTCTCAAATACAAACTTTAAGTTTTTCCGTGTTATTCTCTATCTTTAGAAGAAGATTGGACGGAGTGAGATGATTGTTGTAGGCTGAAGGCAGTGCTAAATGAAATGACTTAGCCTTGAAATTGGATCTGAAAGTCTGACTTGTCAGCTTGATTTGCAGAGTAGCTTGTGTGAAGTGCAGCAGTGCAAGGAGGGAATGGGGAACTGGCTGAAGGGGGAAGTCAGATGTGACCAGGGAACGAGACGTGACGTTCGAGAATTACCACACAGTAAATAATGCTGAGGGAGCTGTGGGACTGGTCAGGGAGAGCCCAGCTGGTTAAACAAGCCAGGGAACGTGTGAAGAGTCAGTGCAGCCTTGAGATTTGCTGAAGCAAAGTCCTGTTCTTAAGCTGCAGAAATGTTCTGAGTGTGTGGAGTACCCAGCACAGCTCCACTTGCACAGAGGATGTGTGGTTTGGGGGGCTGTTTTCCATACAGGCCAACTAAACACACAGAAATGAGCACAAATCTTGTGGAGATTAAACAATTACCCTAAAAAGCACAATTTTATGGCCTGAGCAGCTGATTCAGCCCATTTTAGTATCTGTACTCTTGCACAAGTATTGGCTGTATTTGAATCTTGAAGTCTTTTTAGTAAAAGGCTCATTTCCAGTCAGGGATTCTGTTACCATTTGGGAACACCTGGAGTTTTCATCCTGCATCCCACGTGTATTTCAGCACTAAAATATGTCCACTGTGACAGAGGGTAACTGTAAAGTAAATGAAGATGACAAATGGGGTCTCTGGGACCAGCAGGTGTGATCCCAGTGTGATCCCATCCCTGCTCTGTGTGCAGGATCAGCAGGGACCTGTGTGATCCCATCCCTGCTCTGTGCAGGATCAGCAGGGACCTGTGTGATCC